TCATGTTTGTGCATTTATCAAAATTGTACAACTTGGATCTTTGGCCATCATGCAATGAAGTTGCTTGATTTGTGGTTTTGGATCCAAATGTGTTACTCCTTTGAGATTTTGAGATGATAATGAGGGATACTGTACAAACAAATCCTTGGAAAAATCCCCTTTTTGCTCTGTTTGTGCTTTGTTGCAGCATGGTGAGCCAATGCATCAGTGGCCGGCAGTGCATCATTTTTGGCCGGCAGTACACCTTTTTGGCCGGCAGTATCCATTCATGGTCGGCAGGCCACTGATGTAAATCTTAGCAAAGATTTGGTAAGATGGAGCAAAAAGGTTCTGGAAATGCTCAACCCTGCAAACAAAGGCTTTCGACAGCAAGACGGAGGTTTTTTCGAGGTGAAAACCAAGCATGTGCATCTTCCACTTCCTGAGGCAGAGTAATGGCAACATAGATTAATGTCTTACATGCTTAGTTCGTGCTTAGTTTGTGTTGTAAATTAATTAATTAGTTTGCTAGTTAGTTAAAGTGCTGTAATAATTAGTAATTAGCTTAACTAGTTATTCATTTGATTTGTAATAATTAGTTTAATTAGCATAATTAGACTAGCTTAGCTTAGATTAGCTTAGCTCTTATTCATTCGGACCCTCCTTCGCAAGGGAGTAATGTTGTAATAAGTGTGCGTGCGTGTGTGTATGTCTTCCAGCCCCACGTCTTTCTCCCTTTTATTTAATCACTTTTGATCGTCAGATTAGGGACATGTTTCAATTAGCATGCCTTATGCTTGCATCCATTCATCTTGTATTGCATGCACTGAGGCTCAGCGCATCATTCAAACTGCATTGTTACTTTAATACTTCTTTGAATCCGTGTTTGATTGCATGTTGTTCAAATCAATCATATGCAATATTAGTAGCCGAGTCTATTAATTGCATGTTGCATGTGTTGCATTAGACACTTAACATAGTTAGGATCATGCATCTTTCTAACTAGTTTCTGTTTTGGCTTGGAGTACTAGGTGGGTTTTTAAGCTTTAGCATACTTGCATGAGTGTGATTGCTATGTTGCCATGTTTAGCACACTTGCCATGAGGCTGCGTGCTTATATGCTAAACTGCATGAATGCCTGTGGATGAAGGCTTGTTGTTTGAATTGGAACGATTCAACGAATGCGTGTTTGAAGCCCACTTTGTTGAGTGGCAAATCATGTTTTAAGCCCACTATGTTTGGTGGCAAATCCGCAATTTTTAAAGCCCACTTGAGGTGGCAAATTCAAACCATTTTTGCAAACAAACATGAGTTGAATTGTTCCAACTTAAACAAACTAGTCTATATTTGCTTGTGTGCATCACATAGTAAAGCTAGCTTAATAACTGGGACAAAAGCACATAATGTTTATAAAATATGATATCATGATTAGTAGAAGCCAATCTTTGATCGGGCGAGCGGGGGTGCTCAATTCAGGACCTTCCCCTCTCGTACCTAAGTTCCCGAGCCGAGGCAAATTTGGTGATGATAGACACGTGACCTTTGGCACGAGTCAGGATTTTCTAAATTTTTCCAAAACAAAAAATATTTAGGTGACGACTCTGTATATGGCAAAGTAGTCCAATTTTGGCATTATTTGATTTAAAATTGATTTTCCAAAAAGATTTGTCGAATTTGGACTCTTTGGTGTTTATCAATTTCACATTGCACTTGTGAGACTAGATTCAAAACCGCGAGAGTCCGAACTGTGAGGCCTTCATTTCAAACCTTCCGAAAGGGGGCGCGAAAAAAGGCGAGTCACAGTGTTTGCCATTTGTTATTCCTGAACGGTTTGCTGGAGGCTTGCTTAGAAAAGCTTGCTAGGTGATGACTCTGTATCTGGAAAAGCAGTCCAATTTTGGCATTATTTGGTTTAAAATTGATTTTCCAAAAGATTTGCCGGATTTGGACTCTTTGGTGTTTGTCAATTTCACATTGCACTTGTGAGACTAGATTCAGAACCGCGAGAGTCCGAACTGTGAGGCCTTCATTTCAAACCTTCCGAAAGGGGGCGCGAAAAAAGGCGAGTCACAGTGTTTGCCATTTGTTATTCCTGAACGGTTTGCTGGAGGCTTGCTTGGAAAAGCTTGCTAAAAGGCTGACCGGTTGCGAGCTCTACTACGATGGGAACACAACCCTTGGATCTGGACTACTGCTGTACTGTTTGATCCTCATTTCACTTCTCGGTGTTAGGTGTGATAGGTATATTAGGTAGTCTTGCTGAGGTACCCTTTTTTTGACCAATCGGCCTAGTTGCATATCGAAAACCATAGAGACTGTTCCAAACTAGGACATGATGCTTACCCGAATGCAGGATTATACGAAACACTTTGTTTGCATAGTGAAAACCCTAGCTCCTGACGAAACTAGGATAGGGTAACTGTAATGACCCAACCCTCTTATATGCTTTGCATCCCTAGTTCTATGAAAAATTACATGTTTAATGTGAAAGTTTCATGCAAAGTCATGTTTACATGTGTGAATTGTTTAATCATGTTTTCTATTTGTTGATTATTGGAACACATCTGTTAAAATTAAAATGTTAACGTGAAAGCTAAAAGCCGTAGAGGCACGATAAACTGAAATTGAGCATGTGCATATATGCTAGTGGGAATTTTTAAAGATACTTGGTAGGTTTAATTGAAAATTTATTTTTCTGATTCGCTAGGGCTTGTTTGGCAAGTCTAGAAATTAACGACTTACTTATGTGTTATATAAACCCCTCTTTGAACTCATCTCTTTATATATATATATATATATATGTTAAGTGGAAAATCTTGAGAACCTTGAAGAAGAGAGAAAGGAAAAAGGAGAAGGGGAGAGTCAATAAGATTTGGAGGTTGAAGAACTTGCTAGGAACAATTGAAGAATCCAACTTAAGGTGTGTACAGATCATTAGTAAACTCTTAATTCCTCTTCTATTGGTTGGAATTAAGTTTTGACTTGAAGTATTCTTCCTCCATGAAAGCTAGGGTTATGATTGAGAATAATTGAATCTCATAAATGACCATGTATCTCTTGAACATGTATGATGGGAAACTTAGTCACTTGATTTCTCTATGTTTTGCTTACTCTAGCTCTTTTGAGTGTTTGAATTCACATAAATGGAAAGGTAGACATTGTACATGTATATTTTCAAAGTGTGAGTGAGGGAATCATGAAACTTTTGAGGTGTAAAGGCCAAAGGGCTAGAATTCCGTATTTATATGTTTATATGCTATGATTTTAGTGTAAATCAACCTTGCTTTTGGCTGTGAGACTACCTCTTGTGAACTTGGAATTGTTGAAGTTTCAGACCAAAAACAGAGGAAACGACTACACGTGTGGGGGCCCATGGCCGCACGTGCAGGAGGCACGGCCACAAGTGCAGGGATCATAGCCGCACGTGCGGAAAACAGGGGAGAAGGGTCGAACTACACTACTAAAAAGGCACGTGCAGTTCCGCACGTGTGACCCAAGTTTGAAAATTCTGTAATTTTCTTTCGCTCTTCTCGACTCTCTGAACATGTTATTATGTTCGTTTGATGCTCCTATAATGCCTTTAATTACGAAACATAGTGAATCAAATAATGAGAAATAAAAGGCAATTATGAAAAGGTAATGTACTTACGATTTATGTGCTGTGTAGGGCATCCGTAGGAGGGAACCAGCGTTCACCCACATAACAGTGAGTGGTAGTAGCGTAGTATGATGCTCTATTCACGTTTTGTGAATATATATGTTACCCGAAACATTCTTCACTTTTGCGAGCACTTTATGTTATATACGATAGGTTTGACGTATGTTTGAACCTTGACATGTGAAATGTAGACCCGAGGTCGTTCGATTTGCTATCTTATTGGGCCTAAGGCCGTTCTGCATTATGATGGGCCTAAGGTCGTTCTGTATTCTGTTGGGCCTAAGGTCGTTCTACATTATGATGGGCGTAAGGCCGTTCTATATTTTATTGGGCCTAAGGTCGTTCTGCATTCTGTTGGGCCTAAGGCCGTTCCGTATTATGATGGGCCTAAGGCCGTTCTGTCTTATGTGGGCTCAAGGCCGTTCAGGAAAGGAAAAATGAGAAAGATTATGATTTGTGAATATGCACTGTTAACCATGTTCGTACTTTTGATTTATTTGTACTACTATCATTCACTGGGCCTTGCTCACTCTACTTTCCTAAATGTTTTGTAGGTAACCAGCTTGCGGGTCAAACCTAGGTCAGCCTAGAAGCCTGTAGCTAAAACCGTTTTGACGAGCCACCTGAAGTGACTCTTTTGTTATAATTTTGAAGATCCCTATGATGGCATATTTTGTCATAATGTTGGGACCAATGGATGTGTATCTCTAGATACTGTTAACACTTAACTTCCGAGTTGATCCCTTTTGTGTTCAGTAATATAAATGGTGCATGGAATGTTATGTATGTATAGTAATGCGACATGATCTTAACATTTAGACACAGCTCAATGAATATTATTCTTCTATTATTTTGCTTCCGTTCAGGCCCCAAGATGGAGTAACATTTAACGAACGAAGTTTAGGCCTCGAGTTAGGCCGGTCACGTCCAAACTTTTAGGGACAGGTTTGGATTGTGACAGTTGGTATCAGAGCACGAGTTGCTACCTCACGCACGAGTTCATTGAGCTTTAAGGCGTCTAGTAAAGATTTAAATCATACTTGCATGTGACTTTCGGTGCATATGCAGTAATCATAGATATATATACATATTGGTAATGATCATGATCCATGCCTACTTGTGCATTTCTGTATGTATTAGAACTAATTGTTATGTAGATCATGGTGAGAATCAGAATGGATGATCCGGAAGATCCTACCTCCGTAAGCTTGGATAGAATGGAAAGGATGATTATGGAGTGGTAGAAACTCTGAGGCAGCAACAGCAACAACCACCACGACCCATACCTGTACCACCGCCAGGGATACAAGATTATCAAGTTGAGGATCAGACAATTACACTCACGAAGGAATTCAAAAAGATGATGCCGTCTTCGTTCAAAGGAGGAATTGAACCAATGAAAGCAGAAGTGTGGGTGTTGGGTATAGAAAAGTTATTCAAGGTTTTTCCTTGTACTGAAGCTCAAAAAGTGCAACTTGCTGCTTTCACTCTTGAAGACGAGGCACGAAGATGGTGTATGCACATGAAAACTGTACATCAAGGATTAACATGGGATAGATTTTTGGAACTGTTTTATGACAAGTATTTTCCTCAAAGTATGCAAGATAAGAAAGTGACTGAGTTTGAGACCTTGAGGCAAGGGAACAGGACTGTTGCAGAGTATGAGGCTCAATTTGCTGAATTGGCCCGTTTCGCACCACATATGGTGGATACGGACTACAAGAAGGCAAGAAAGTTTGAAGGTGGGTTACGGACTGCTATTCTCGACCAAATTAATGTGTTGAAACTACCTACGTATGTCGATGTGTCGGAAAGGGCAGTGATTACGGAAGGTAATGGTGCCGCTCAACGCCTGGTCTCAGAATGGAGAGGGAAAAGACAAAATATCCAAACCTCAAGGGGCTCGGTGACACCGCCAAGTAAGAAGTTGAATTCAGGAACTTCTAGTGCATCTACTTCTACCCGTGATTCTGTACCAATTTGTTTGGATTGTGGGAAGAAACACCGTGGAATTTGTTATCAGGTAACGGGAGCATGCTTTAAGTATGGCAAGACAGGTCATTTGGCCAGAGAGTGTCCGCAAAAGAATCAGCAGAATGGAAATAGAACCACCGCAAGTTCAGCTGGATCAACCCCTACCCCAGCTACAAAGGTAGCCATGAAACCCTCCAACGCTACAGACACCACCAAACAAGGAAGGGTATTTGCGCTAGTTCCGGGCGACATACAAAATACCGAGGTTATGGTATCAGGCACATTTTTCGTTAATGGTCATTCTGCACGTGTTATTTGACTCGGGCTCTACCCATTCCTTTGTATCAAAAGCATTTGCTAGTTACTTGAGTAGGCCAATGGAACCATTACCTTATGTTTTGTGTGTATCTTCACATTCAGGGGAGTCCATGGTATGTGCATCTATTTATTTTGCATGTGAAATCCTAATCGGGGATGTTTGGGTAGATGCCAACTTGTTGCCTCTTGATATGGCTTATTTTGACATAATTTTGGGGATGGATTGGTTAAGGGTTGGTTTGGCAAGGCCTTATTGGGCTTTTTTGGCTCAATGAGCCATAAAAGACAGAATAGGCTCATGAGCCACAACAGACAAAACATCCCATCCAACCCCATAATCATTACACTCTTCTCTCACAAAAAAATCAAAAAAGCCAAAAAGCCAAAAGCCCTTCCCAAACTAAGCTTTTGAGCCCAAGCTCATATAGTCAAAAAAGCCAAAAAGCCAAAAAGCCAACCCACTTCCCAAACGGAGGCTAAGCAAGTATCACGCGACTATAGATTGTGTCTCGAAGCAAGTTATGTTCCAACTCCCAGGACAATCTGAGTTTGTTTTTAAGGGCCAGAGGGTAGTTTCCCCACCTTATCTGATTTCTGCAATAAAGTCATGTAAATTACTCCAAAAGGGTAGTCAAGGGTATTTGTGTAGTATCGTGGGTGAACAACCAGTGAATGGAGGCATTAATGCAATTCCAATTGTGCGGGATTTTTCGGATGTTTTTCCGGATGAATTACCGGGAGAGCTAATTGATCGTGAAATTGAGTTTACAATTGATATAATGCCAAGAACTCAGCCCATTTCTAAAACCCCTTATAGAATGTCTCCCGTTGAAATGAAAGAGTTGAAGGTCCAATTGCAAGACCTCCTTGACAAAGGATTTATTCGTTCGCGCACTTCCCCTTGGGGCGCACCAGTCCTTTTTGTAAAAAAGAAAGACGGGACCCTTTGGCTGTGCATGGATTATAGAGAGCTTAATAAAGTAATCATAAAGAATAAATATCCTTTGCCCAGGATCGCTGATCTGTTTGATCAATTACAGGGTGCACAAGTCTTTTCTAAAATAGATTTGCGGTCTGGGTATCACCAATTGAAGGTTAAAGCTGAGGATGTCAAGAAAGCTGAGGATGTCAAGGTTAAAGCTGAGGATATCAAGGTCTTACAACTTGAATACAAATAAAATAAGTACATAATACATCTTGATCAAAAGGCTTCTCAAGCCAACATAAACAAAAGAAGTAAACTACAAGCCAAGAAGCATGATCTTCAAGATGCTACAAAAATGCGAATCCAAAACAAGTTGCAAATAATCAACTAGGCGTCGCCGCCTTCTTGCTCATCACCTAGATATATATAAGGAGAGGGTGAGCTTGGATACTCAGTGAATGATATTAGTAATAAAGGGTCAAATGAATGATATCCGAGATCTTTATCAAAACAATACATATGATAACTTGTACAAAATCAAGGGATGAACCAAGTTCATTTATCAAGTCTTTCAAAGCTTCAAGGGATGCTTACTAGCATCAATATAGTACAAGGGATGACATCCGGACAAGCAAACCCACGCGGAAAACCGTCAGTGGCAAAACAAGGGTGCAGTCGCATTATAGTCCCCTGGCACTAAGGACTTTCAAAACAAGGGTGTAGTTGCATTATAGTCCCCTAACACTATGGACTTCCCAAACGAGGGTGCAGTTGCATTATAGTTCCCTAGCACTAAGGACTTTCAAAACAAGGGTGCAGTTGCATTATAGTCCCCTAGCACTAAGGACTTTCCCAGAATGTCATCAAAACAATATAATACTAGATACCAAAATAGGGACAATCATTCATGCTTGATCAAATACTTTTCCAAAATGAATCAAGGCTTTATCAAAACTTTATAACATAACTTTATTAAAAATACCACTCACATAGCTCTTCGGATGAGGGGATTACAAGCAAGGATCCAAGGCCTATAAGCACATAATAAATTCCATTGAATGTATTTCAAGAAGACAAGGAGAAATGCTCAAAGATGGGTATGAAATGCATTCTTAAAACAAGTTTTACATGACAAGAAAGGATCTCGACATTTCTTTTAAAATTAGGTCAAGTCAAAGCAAAACATGCTGGAAGTTAAAACACTGTTTTTTCATCTCGGGGAAAACATGCTGGATACCAACCAGGTCTTGGCCGAGGTCCCACACCCCTTGGCCTAGGTGTGGTCCCAACGGCCACATTCGAGGAAATGAAGTCAGGAAAACTTGGGTTTTCCTTTGAAGAACATGAAGGACAAGAACATGAAGAACATGAAATGCTAAAATCATAACTTCTTTATTCAAAATCTTAGATTTCATGAGATGAGTTCGAAAACATGGACCTGGGTACCCATACTTGAAGATCTTATGAAAACAAACACAAAAACATGGATCTTGATACAAACTTTTGGATCAAGACATGGTTTTCTTTCAAGAACACAAGAACATCATTTCTCTTTCTAAAACCGAATTTCAAAGCAATGCTTGGCTCATGAATCATGCTAGATCTTGCAATGTAGTTAGATGAACATAAGGAACAACAAGAGCAAAACAAGAATCTAACCTGAAAACACGAATCCAACGGTTCAAACTCTAAGGATCAAGCTTGTGATCTAGCTCTCTCACTCTAAGTTCTTCTCCTCTTCCTAGAGCTTTTCTCTCTACCATGCAAGAGATATGACACAAAATGATATATTTCTAACTCTGCCGACTGACTTAACCCTCTGCTGGGACACGTGGCAACGGCTGATTGGATCTCCTCAAAAAGGTGATAGATTGATAAGACAAGAGCATGACAAAGTGTAAGCAACAAGTAAGGTGACATGGGCACTTCGGCGGGTAATGATCTCGGCTAGGACAAAGCTTCGGCAAGTAAGGTCTCAATAATCTCGGCTAGGAAGGACAACACTTGGCCTAGCTGTGCCACACCTTGGCCTAGATGTGCCACACCTCGGTCTAGGTCGTACCAGTTCAGGGACAAGATCACTTTGGTATAACATCTCGGCCTAGATAATACACATCTCGGCCTTGGTGATGAACACCTCGACCTAGATAATGACATCTCGGCTAACATGTCAGGGTGAGGGTGGAGGTCAACCAAAGTGGTTCCAAGATGATCCTAGGTGTAAGAAGTTTAAAGGTGTAACCTAGGCTTCAGATGACCTCGGCTAAACTCACACCGAGCAAGGAACAAAACATGCAAACAACACTTAAACGAAACTAATCAAAGTCTGCAAAGATGCAAGCTTAATCAATACAAGGATCATGCAAAAATGTACGTAAGCATGACTAGGATAAAGTGAGGGTTGCTACAAATTTACTTAGAATTTACTGAGCAACTTAGTGAGAATTTACTGAGTAATTTTCTAAGAATTTACTGGGAATTTACTAAGTAATTTACTGAGAATTTATTGAAAATTTAATGGAAATTTATTGAGTAACTTGCTGAGAATTTACTGAGAATTTCCTTCCAATTTACAAAGTAATTTACTGTGAAATGTACTAAGAATTTACAAGGAATTTACTGAGTAATTTAGTGAAAATTTACTAAGTAAATCACTCAGAATTTACGGAGAATTTTATGAGTAATTTTTTGAGAATTTACTAGTAATTTACTTAGTAATTTTTTGAGTAATTTACAGGGAATTTACTGAATTATTTACTAAGAACTTATTGGTAATTTACTGAGTAATTTACTTAGAATTTACAGAGAATTTACTTAGAATTTACTTAGAATTTACTGAGTAAATTACTGAGAATTTACTTCGTAATTTACTGAGAATTTACAGTGTAATTTACTTCACAATTTACTGAGTAATTTAATTAGAATTTGCTGGGAATTTACTTAGTAATTTATTGAGAATTTACTCAGAATTTACTGGAAATTTATTGAGTAATTTACTCAGTAATTTACTGGGAATTTACTAAATAATTTACTCAATAATTTGCTGAGCAATTTTTGAAAATTTAATAGGAATTTGATGAGTAATTTTCTGAGAAATTACTGAGTAATTTACTAAGAATTTACTGAGAATTTATAGAAAATTTACAACGAATTTACTGAGTAATTTATGAAGAATTTACTGAGTAATTACTGAGAATTTATTGGGAATTTACTGAGGATTTATTGAGAAATTTACTGAGATTGATATGTCATGCTTAATGGTTTAATCCTTTAGGGGGTTCATTAACAACGGTATGATGTCTCTTTCATGCCTAAGACAACTCTTGGTTTGAGCCCTCTTTCCATTATAGGACTTAAACTTACCATTTGGACTTAATTCATTAAAGAATGGCTGGTAATCTAAAATGATGTAATAAAATTGAGGCTAAAAAGGTGCAAGATAATAAAAAGTGTTGTGTTCAATCAGATGTTAATTGAACACATGGAAACTTGGGCCATTTCATACTTACTAGTGATGAAATGATTCAAGTTTTCAAGGTCACCACTTCCCTTGATCTTCCATGATAGGGAGGTGGCTTTGAGAGTCTCATTTCATTGCATTTATTGAACTTGCACGCTTTCGTTCACAAGCCATCATGCACTGAAATTGCTTGAGTTGGTGGTTTATGGCTTAAGCTCACTACTCCTTTGATTTGTTTATGAAAAGGAGGGGTGAGTTGTGCAGACAACCCTTGAGAAAACCCTGTGCATGTTTTATTTGTCCTTTATTGCAACAAGGTGAACTGGGCAGCAGTGGCCGGCAGGGCACTTTCCATGGCTGGCAGGTGGCCGGCAGACCACCTTTGATGGTCGGCCGACTATCACTGGTGGCCGGCAACCCTCATCACTGGCCGGTCGGCCACTGATGCAAAATTTAGCAGTGTGTTTGTGAGTCAAAACAGAGTTATTTTGGAAGTGGGCAACAATGTTAGTGTTCTATTATACAACAGAGGCCTTCCGGAAGCAAAACAGTGACTTTTTCGGGTGGAAAGCGAGCACGTGCATGAGCATGCCTCACATTCCAAGCTTGTTTAAAG